GACACTGCCAGTTATTGCTTCTACGTAAGAGTACTGCTTTTCTCAAGACTTTGGTTTAAGCGAACACTTTCGATTAATCCCTAAATCAACTTACAGACTTAATTGCCTTTAACACTGAAAAATCGGAAACGGCTTCTCCACAACGTACACGAGGCCCTCCAGTGAATTTTAGAAAGACCCACAGGCTGGCTAGGAAGCTTCTAAGACACTGATTCTCACCCACATATGGAGGATTTATTTGGGTCTTGACAGTTCCCTTTCCGGTATCACAGAGTCATGAGTGAGGTCATTTACTCATAGAACGTGGCCTTTGGAGTTTTGAAAAAATAAACCCTGTGGCTTTCTCTAGAAGATGTAAAAGCAGGCGATGCCTCACCCATCAAGTGCTGTGGAACTCTTACGTCTTCATAGAATAGCACCTCTTGATGCTTCAAGTTAAATGAGTAACAAAAACATTAAAAAACAAAAACACAAAGGGGTAGATGGGTGGCTCAGTTGGTTAAGCATCTACCTTTGGCTTGGCGCGTGATCCTGCAGTCCTGGGACTGAACCCTGCGCATCCTCAGAAATCCTGCTCAGCAGGGAGTCTGCTTCTTCCTCTCCCTCTGCCCCTCACCCTGCTCATGCTCAGTCTCTCAGTCTCTCTCAAATAAATAAAATCTTTCAAAAAAATTTTTAAAATATTATTAACCTAGGGGCACCTTGGTGGCTCAGGGCTTGAGCATCTGCTTTTGGTTCATGTCGTGATTCCAGGGTCCCAGGATCGAGTCCTACATCAGGCTCCCTGTGGTGAGCCTGTTTCTCCCTCTGCCTATGTCTCTGCCTCTCTGTATGTGTGTCTTGTGAATAAACATATAAAATCTTAAAAAAATATTATGAACCTACATATTAGATAAGACTTCAAGGATCTGCCTATGTATGTCAGCAAATGCAAGAAACAAGTTTTATCATCAAATGCTCAGCAACTTACATCTTCACAGCCACAAGACTGGTTAAAGATGTAAAATACAAAATAAAGTAGTGATAGTAGTAGTAGGTAGGCTTTGCCCTATAGACATTTGGGACCACCTGAATCCGTGGTGGGGCCGTTCCTGTGCATGGTAGGATGCTAAGCAGCAGCCCTGGCGTCTGCCCACCAGATGCCAGTAGCACCAGGTCTTCCAACACGGCCAGATGTCCCCTGGGAAGGGGTGAGGGATCGCCTCTGACAGAATCCTTAGGGTGGGGACAAAGGTCCGGGGCCACTCCTCAGGTCATGGCAAGGCAGCCCTCACATTCCTAAAAGCCTTAGCTCCCTGAACATTGGCAATGCGTCTGCTAAGGGACCATGACTTGGATTCTGTCTTAATCACATCAAGGACCTCACAGAGCTGTTCCTCCAAATGTCCGCCAATTCAAGAAGCAGAAGTTAGGAGAGGGAGAAATAAAACAGGTGTGTTCCTTTAGGTAAGAGCCAGCAAACCGTGGCCTGCAGGCCATGAATAGTTTTTACATTTTTGAGTGCTTGAGAAGAAAATCAAGAGAACCATATTTTGTGACTTGTGAGATTGATAGGACATTCAAATTCCAGTGTCCACAAATAAAGTTTTATTGGCACTCACCCACGGCCACTCGTTTATGTATGATCAACAGCTGTTTTTACACAACAGCAGAGCTGAGTGGCTGTCACAGAGCCCGGCTGGCTCGTGACAGAAAATGCTCTGGTTTTCCCAGCTCTACTGAAGAGTTTCCAGTTTCTTTCCCTTTTTACTTTATTTTTAAAGATTTTATTTATTTATTCATGACAGAGAGAGAGAGAGAGAGAGAGAGAGACAGAGAGAGGCAGAAACACAGGCAGAAGGAGAAGCAGGATCCGTGCAGGGAGCCCGACGCAGGACTCAATCCCAGGTCTCCAGGGTCACGCCCTGGGCCAAAGGCAGACGCTCACTGCTGAACCACTCAGGCGTCCAGAGTTTCTGGTTTCTACATTAGACAACAACTGCCTTCCTCCTTGTCTATTCCCAGCTTGAAAAGCTGCCTGTCTGCTAACTAGCAGGCGATGCCCCCAAATGTGAATGCTCCTCAGGAACAATCCTATCGCTTTAAAGTGAGAGCAAGAAACACCACTGCCAGGGTCGGCCACGAGTGTCTTTCAAAGGAGGCACGTGTAGAAACGAGGTAAGTCTAAGGGAGCATATTATCAGTCCTCACTTTCTGATGCATGGCAGCCGACAGAGAGAGACAGGGCATGTGGTTTACAGAAGACTCCCGATCTTACTGATGCACCTGCAACGCGGGTACTGCAGTAGGTACACAACAGTGTCATGTCCTCGCACAATCCCCAATGACCATCTGCATCTGTAAACTATACAATGAGTCACCAAAGGCTACCAAGAAAAAAAAATCCATAGTCATCTATAAAGTTCAACACCAGTCCCTCGCACACAGTGGGAATTCAATGTGCACTCAATTCGATTGAAACCTGTGTTCCCTAAGCACTGAGTTAATTCTCAATCAACACACTGATGACAAACAGACCTCTCCCATCTTCCCTCTAATATTTAGAAGATGGTTCAACATTTCAAAACATAATGATGAATGGAAGAGTCTAGAAGTTCATCAAAATGCAAAACATAGTTACCATGCAACCTATCACTTCTATTCCCTGACATGTACTCAAGAGATGCCTGCACAAAAACGTGTACACAAATGTTCCTAACAGCAAAAATATGAATAACAATTCATAGTAACTGGAAGATCAATGCAACTCAAATGTCCATCGGCTGATGAACACAGTGTGGTATGACCGTACAATGGAATATTACTCAGCCATAAAAAAAAAAGGTTCATGCTACAAGATGGATGAATCCTGAAAATATTATGTTAGGTTAAAGCCAGGCACAGGGATCCCTGGGTGGCGCAGCGGTTTGACGCCTGCCTTTGGCCCAGGGCGTGATCCTGGAGACCCGGGATCGAATCCCACGTAGGGCTCCTGGTGCATGGAGCCTGCTTCTCCCTCTGCCTGTGTCTCTGCCTCTCTCTCTCTCTCTCTCTGTGACTATCATAAATAAATAAAAATTAAAAAAAAAAAAAAAAGCCAGGCACAAACTCAACTTAGTTAACATTGTCAAATTTTAGTTTTTATCAGCACACTACAGTTTTGAAATATTTAAGTAAAATATCAAGATTCTTATACATTTACTTTTTCAAACAATTTTTACATACTTGGGCTGGGCGGGGGGGGGGGGGGGCTGGGGCAGAGAGAGAATCCTAAGTTAGGCTCCACACTAGCACAGAGACCATTGCAGGGCTCGATCTCACAATCCTGAGAGATCATGACCTGAGCAAAAATCAAGAATCAGATGCTTAACTGACTTAGCCACCCAGGTGTCCCTTTACATACTCTAGTTAAATTAAGGACCATCACCTCAGTTCTGATTGATTTTTTTAAAGCAATAAGCAAAATTCATCACCAAATTTCCATCTTTATGTTTTTAAAAATCTGAAAGATGTTTTATTTTTTCTTAAAAAAAAAATTAAAGACGGGGCAGCCCGGGTGGCTCAGTGGTTTAGCACCACCTTCAGCCCAGGGCCTGATCCTGAAGACCTGGGATCAAGTCCCACGTCAGGCTCCCTGCATGGAGCCTGCTTCTCCCTCTGCTTGTGTCTCTCTCCCTCTCTCTCTCTCTGTGTCTCTCATGAATAAATAAATAAAATATTTAAAAAAATTTAAAGACAAAAATACAAATATAAAAATTAAATAATACAGCAGATACAAAAAGCAAACAATAAGGTTGCCTGGGTGGCTCAGTTAGTTAAGCATCTGCTTCAGCTCAGGTCACATCGGGCTCCCTGCTCAGCGGGGAGAGTTTGCTTCTCCCTCTCCCCCTACTTGCACTCACTCTCTCTCATTCACTCTCTCTCTCAAATAAGTAAGTAAAATCTTTTTTTTTAAAAAAAAAAAAGGTAAATAATAAAATCAAGCCCTAAAATTCCATCTACCCCCAAAAAAATTAAAAAAATTAAAAAAAAAAAACAAACAAAAAATAAAATAAAACTCAATCTACCCAAAGATACCAACTTTTACAGAACTGCCCATCTGTTTTAGTTTGGCATATGGGCTTCAACTCTCGGCACCTGTTTGATTTGGTCTTCTGCAAAATTTATCATCTCCTTGACCTATAAATAATAATCTACATGCTGTTCTAATAAGTTTCAAGGCTAACTAGCAAATCAGTTTGCAGATACACAGAAACTGCATTAAAAAACCAATAAAGCACAAGGGCACCTGGCTGGCTCAGTCAGTAGCACATGCAACTCTTTTTTTATGATTTTATTTACTCATGAGAGACACAGAAAAAGGGGTAGAGACACAGGCAGAAGAAGAAGCAGGCTCCCTGTGGGAAGCCCAATCTGGGACTCAATCCCAGGACCCGGGATCACGCCCTGAGCCAAAGGCAGATGCTCAACCACGGAGCCACTCAGATGCCCTGAGAGCACGCAACTCTTGATCTCGGGGTTGTAAGTTTAAGCCCCATGCTGGGTGTAGAGATAACTTAAACAGTTTTTTTTTTTTTCAAATCTTTAAAAAAGATTAGTTTCTCTAATCTAATTTTGTAATCTTACAGAATTAAAATACAGGAGACAATGTCTATACTCATGTGCCTGATAAAATTAAACCAAAAAATTAATTATAAAGTCACATTGTTGACAAGGAAGTTTGGTTTTAGTTTTAGAAGGTGTCATCCTCTCCTGGTAAGACCTAGAAAAGTTTATGATAACTGGTACAGTGTCCAAAATTTCTAAAAGGCAGTAAAATGCGAATTCATCATTTAGAATTACTATATACCCATAAGGATCTCACGGTGCTCTACTACCTTCAAATTCAACAAGGAGAAAGACCCGTGACTTGAAAAAAATAATTTTAAAACAGAAGTTGCTCAGTTTGGGCAAAATGCACTTCCACTTCTCTAAGGGATTTCAGCTAAAGGAAAAGATCCAACAGCAAGTGGGTTGCTTACCTTTATGGTGACTTCATGTGTAGACCTTTGAACCAGTGAGCTCCCCAGCATCCGATCGTACTAACTGCAAAGTGTCTGCCAGGACCTGCCTGGTGAGAAACGAGATATGAAGAAGAAACTTAAAATTCCTTGGGAAGTATTCATCTCCGGCCTCTCCCACTTCATTGTTTTCTTTTTCACATCGGTGGCATTGTTTCCCTTTTTCACTTCACCTCAAACTTAACACATTTGATTATGTCACAATCTGTCTTACACTTTAACGCAGACAATGCAGTTATACTTGCAGAGTGAAAGATGAGAAATGAGAGTAGCCAGTCGGTATCAACTGTATGTGTAGAAATCCCAAAAGAGTCTCAAAGTAAATAAAATTAATTTTAGTTCAGATTCTGCTACTGGTATCCTTTAACGATATAATTAATGCCTATTTGAAATACTTCTGTCTTAGGGACTGTCTCACATGCAACCAAGAAACTATATACACCTCTGAGAGAAGAAAACATCACTTTGGAGTGAAGCAGGGAACTTTATAGACATCATTTGGGCTAATGTTTATAAGTCTTGCATGCATGTCCATGTGTGTACATATATACCCTTGTACGTTCTGTGCTTAAAAACACAAAGAAACAACATTAGAATCTTTTTTTCAAAAAAAAAATATTTTTTCCCCTTTCGACTTCCCTATCATAAAGCAAAAGAAAGGCACTGGCTCAGTATGGTTCAACTTATCCATTACTGTTGTCATACAGTTCAATTTCACAAGGGTTCCACCATTTGCACTTCTGAAGAAGCCAGGTTTGTAAGCTCCTAAGATAACCTTCATATCAAAAACGTGTTTCTACTTTTCAGTCAATATAAACACTAAGCGATCAACCAGCACTGCCGTAATAGTATTTACCTTCTTCCTCATAAAATGTGCTCAGTTGTGAATGAATCCAGCCTCCGACATTTAAATTAGCTACTACTGTCTATAAGCTCAAAATCTAAGGAAATTAACTGTCATCTTCTCTAAATCCTTATTCAGTTATCTTAAGTGATAAAAAGGTGCAAGGTTAATAGAATTCAAATCCACAAGTGAAGCAATGAGTAAAGGTGTTTCTTTTTTTTTTTTTAATTTTTATTTATTTATGATAGTCACACGGGGGGGGGGGGGGCAGAGACACAGGCAGAGGGAGAAGTAGGCTCCATGCACCGGGAGCCCGACGTGGGACTCGATCCCGGGTCTTCAGGATCGCGCCCTGGGCCAAAGGCAGGCGCCAAACTGCTGCGCCACCCAGGGATCCCAGTAAAGGTGTTTCTTATTAGTGAATACAGAACCTCATGAAATGTTTTAAGGAAATTCAAGAAAGTTATTCCCGTTGAGTCATGTTTATAGCTATACTCCTCAGAGAAAGGAGATTAAAAGGATTTAACAGGTAGGTTCATAGGTCCTTAATTTCCATTACAGTACATTTTTTTTTATTTATTTATGATAGTCACAGCGAGGAGAGGAGAGGCAGAGACACAGGCAGAGGGAGAAGCAGGCTTCTCACAGAGAGCCAGATGCGGGACTCGATCCCAGATCCCAGGATCATAACCTGAGCTTAGAAGGCAGCTGCCGAACCGCTGAGCCACCCAGGCATCCCTATGGTACATTTTTTAAAAAAACATCATAAGGATATGTAGGATAAAAGTAATAACCAGGGCAATTTTTAAAACTCTACCAGTGAAGAAAAATAATGAGATTTAAACAAAATTTCCCTACAACTCTTTGAGTAGAAATTATTCACTGGAGTGAAGCAGGGATAAAGGAATATTGATTTTGCTCATAAAATAAAAATATATTTCACAATGAAGACAATTTCTGTAGAGCCAAAATAGGACAATACTCCTTACAGTACCTGAAACAGAAAGCAAATTAATATTTTTAGAATTGAGCTGTAAATTGCCATGGGGGGGGGAATGGCCTTATGATGAAATCGCTAAATACCATAAAGTATCAAAATATGAGCAGATGTCACCACAATAAGCCCCAAATTGCGTGAAAATTAAAATACTAAAATCCATAATAATTCAATAAGTAATTAATATATAAACAGCTCTTATTACAAGCTGTTCAAAAAAAACCTTTAGAATCAAATTCTTATTCTTTGGTCCAAACCAGATGGTAACTCACAAATGAGAGTGTTGGAATTGAAGATTATCTTTTATATATGTTGTTAAACTCAGTAAGTGTAATTAACATCATCTGTGTGTTATAAACACACAAAAATGGGAAAATTTGACTGGTTCGTAACATTCTTCTGCTTATGCAACGTGTCAAAATTAATTAGTGTATTGATAGAAACAATAGATTAAAATGATAAGTCCGATCCTCCAATACCTAATCCTAACTGACTGTCCCATGACATCAGTACCCGAACAGAACCACCGTCAGTGGCACTGCCACCTCCTGGCAGTGCTGGCCAAGAGGCTGGTGCACTGCAGAGGACTGGTGTGAAATGCCAGATTTTATTTATTTATTAGAGAGAGAGAGAGAGACAGGCAGAGACACAGGCAGAGGGAGAAGCAGGCTCCATGCAGGGAGCCCGACGTGGGACTCAATCCCGGGTCCCCTGGATCACGCCCTGGGCCGAAGGCAGCGCTAACCCGCTGGGCCCCCCGGGCTGCCCCATGCCAATGATTTTAGCAAATGCAATACACTCTTTATTGTCAAAGGTAAATGAAAGGACTGCACAATTTGCCGGCAGGGCATGGTGCAGACCCCACCACGGGCCCCCGCGCGTGGTGCCCTGGGGACAGTCCCAGTGTGGCGCTGACATCACCCTGGCAAGTCCCAGAGTTGCCATCGCTCCAGCCGTGACCTGTCAAGGACGTGCCCCGCGATCCCGCTCCGCCCTGGGCTCTCCGGACTCGCCAGTCCGACCACCTCGCGCCAACGGAAGACGTGGCACCCTCTGCGCCCGGTCTGTCACTTAGCGGGACAGGACCTGTGGCCCAGCCTGAGAGCTCTGCCTGCCCCGGGCCTGGCCTAGTCGCTGGGGCCTCAGGGTCCTTGGCTGAAGCCTTACCCTCCCAGGGCTCCGGGCCGGACAGAGGCCCCGCCCCACCTGGAGCGAGCAAGTGACTCCGCTCAGCGGCTTCTCCGAGGGGGTCGGGCACCGGAGAAACTGGGATTTCTTTTGCTTGGCTCTCGCCGCCCCCACCTCCCCAGCTTTAGCACCCGGTCAGGGGTGCTCACATTCCCTCAGACCCACCAGGGCCACCTGAGTTTGCCAATGGGTGTCCACCAACCTTCTCAAGTTTAATACTGAAATTCAATATTGATCCCGAGAAGAGCATGGAAATTCTCATAGTGTGTTTCAACCAGGGGCGACTGCGCCTTGCACCCCGGGATATATTAGGCGCAGTGTGGAGACAGATTTTGGCTGTCACACGGGGGGAGCGGGTCCAATGCCATCTAATGCTGGGAGGCCAGGGATGCTGCTGCACGTCCTACAACTCGTGGTCTCCTCAGAAGAAACTGATCCACCCCGAAATGTCAATAATGCTGAAGTTGAGAATTCTATTTATTTATTTATTTATTTATTTATTTATTTATTTATTTATTTGAGAAATCTTTTTAATGGAACAGATTTTAGACGAAGTTCTTCTCTTCGTGGCTTCTAATTTTTACTGTGAAATATCAGAAGGTGAAATAATACCTTCCCACAGGTCTTAGATTAAGAAGGAAGTGTCCACGGGAGGCGTCCCTAGATTTGTCATAATGCTTCCTTCCTGGTTGCCAAAGTTTTAAAATTAAAATTAAAACAAATAGCCCACATGGATCACTAAGTCAAGACAAACACACATTTTCACTGATCATAAATTAAATGCTTATCTGTGTAAATATCAATTCTATTTCTTGGTAGAACAGAATCTAATTTGCACAATACAGTTTTTTTTTTAATTGCCTACATAGAATCTCACGTGGATCAGGACCAAGGCCTCTACCGACAGCCAGTGCCATTTGCCAGCCATGTGACAAAGCCACCAAGGAAGCAGCTCATCCAGCCCCAAACAGTCAGATGACCGCAGCCCCAGCTGACCTCTTCACTGCAATTTCAGAGCAGCCCCAACAGAACCACCCACTGAATCACGCCAGCATTCCTGCCCCTCAGAATCGAATACTTTATGAAGGGCAGGCGGGAAAAATGCATGGGGCAGGGCCCCCTCTGCACGTGCCTCTGCATCATTATCCACAGGCTGAGGAGCATGATGTGTGGCGCTGCTGCCAGAGAAATCTAGCACTAAATGAACTGGAAGCCAAGCAGCCAGAGGTTTAAAGTAAGTAGGGGAGAGTTTGCCAAAAAGTGTGTTCCTCAGAAGGAGGTTTTCCAGGTGGTTTGCTCTGCATCATCTGAATACTGCTTCCACAATCCAAGAGGATTGGAAACACGGGTTTTTTTGTACAGTTATTAAAAATCAACAATAGTACAAAGCAAAAAAAAAAAAAAAACAATAATGGTTAACACCAAGCTATGCCTATCGTGTGCCCAGCTCTGTTCCAGGTACTTTTTTTTTTTTAATTTTTTTAATTAAAAAAAAATTTTTTTGTTCCAAGTACTTAAAAGTCATTCATGTAACCCTTTATTAAATAATGAAAGAAGCCTACCTACCAGAACCTCATGCCACACTTTCATGGCTGTACCCCAGGCCCCACCACCAACCATACCACACCAGGTGATCACATACAATAAATCATCATCCTGCTGTCAGGATCCCCTCACGGCTCAGAGCCAGAGGCAGCGGGAAAGCTGTGAACCACCCTCTTCATGGAGCTTCACTTCTAATGGGCCCTTCCACATATGGAGGCGTCCCATGGGTGATGGCACCCCACGGTCAATACACTGTGGTCTGCCCAACACTCTCAAAGTCCTCTCCTAAACAGCTTTCCAACAAATGTTGAAATTCAAAAGACAATTTTCTGATGGACTCTGAACACATCAGTCAATAGACATTCCCATAAATGGAGGTTGTGCCATCGGAAGACTGCACACTCTCCAAGAGAAATATAAAAAACACACTTTTTAGACTTTGGAAGCTTCAAATCTAAAGATGACAGTACTTGACT